TCTTCAGGCTTGTGTCTTCGGCTCTGTGCTTCTCAGAGTGATGTGAGGGAAGAAGCAGCTGCAAGCTCACATCACTCTGAGAAGCACAGAGCCGAAGACACAAGCCTGAAGATGATGAATGAGACTTCATTGAAATGTTGCCTAGATACCGCCAATCTTACGCGGGAGAAAACCCGAACAATCAAAGATCCACATACAAATACCCGCGAGAACCTCAGAAAAATAGATATATTTTCAACTTCATCGAAACGTTGCCTAGATACTTCCATTCTTACGCGGGTATATATCTGTATATATATATATATATATATATATATATATATATATATATATATATATATATATAAACTCCATTATCACTCTCCTTTAAAAGTTACTTCCCTGTCCCAATTCCCTAATAACTTTATTTTCTTGCACCATTCAATTAAAGCAATTAACTGAATATAATATTAACTCATATTAATAACATATTATATTACAAATGATTAAATACAAAGTTGTGCTTTCTGACTATTCCTCTCCCTACCTTGATAGGACAAGAATTTTTGGAGTAGCAAAATACTGCAACAGTATTTTGTAAATTTTGTAGTATGTAGTAAATTTTGTCAGGATAAAGCTAGAAAAAGAAAATCTGCCTTGGGAAATCCTGTAAACCAATTAGTATAACTCCATACAAATAATTATTTTCCTTATTGCAAAATACTGTGATTATAGTTTTAAAAACCAAGACATGATAAATTTGTTGAGTAGCTATAGTATTCCACTAATTAAAACACTATTTGCTCTGCTTTGGCTGGAATAAAAGTCAGCTTGGGATATGGTAGAACATTGGCTCAGAATAATAACATCAAGATTAAAATATCAGATGTCATAATAAATGCATTTTATAACATTTAGCGTTCCCTCTGCTTCCACAAGTTTCAGTGAACATTAGTTTAATATTTGTGCAATACAGCCAAAAACAAGATACTGGAACTTGGACAAAATCAAGTTGCAATTAAATATATCCATAACATCGATTGTTATCCTGTACATATATACACACAGAGACAATTCTCCCACCCACCCCAATATTTGTTTGGAAAAGCTGAGTAAAACAAGCAAGCACTATTAAACATTATGAGAGATGCAAAAAACCCAGGGCCAAAATCGAATTCAAAAGCACCGTAAGTTTTTTCCTTGCTATCTCTAAACAAGAATCTGATCTCGTAACAGTCAAGGCAAATGGGCTCCAGACCCATTTCAATGGACTTCAAGGGGGTCTGAGCTTAGGTCTCTTTCAGCGGTATAGGGACTCCAAACTGATGATGTGTTTGGCCCCACCTTCGAACTCTGGCTAGTCGTCCCCTAAATATCCAAGACTATTGAAACTGATTACATAGTTTTGATTTTTACTGAAGGAAAAACTAATCTTATGGATCAGTAGCACATCTGTGCAACATCCACCCATCTTCTGCTCCACCTTTTAATTCGACCAGCAAACTTCAATACACTTCTTGGTATCTTTCTTTCCTTTACCTTTCCTTGGCAGTTGTCTCCATCACAAGCTGCTATCAATGTTTTTGCATTTTTTTCCCTACTAACTCGTACCATAAAACACCTTTAGGTGCAACATGCATGAATTCTGACAGTATCCCAATCAAACATGTTCTCTTCCAGGCATGAGCTCTCTGGTACTCCAATTCAAAATTTACTTTCAAAGTTTGGGGAAAAGACCAAATTCAGATGGAATTTGTTTGATTTCTTTTTAGGGTCTTTAAATCAGTGCTTACTCATGGTGACTATCTATAAACATCCCTACCATTTTTTTGGCAATATTTTCAAAAGTGATTTGCTATGAGTAAGTGTGACTGATCCAAAGTCACCCAGATGTGCTTGTGTCCAAGGCAGGATTGGAACTCATGGTATCCTCATTTCTAGCCCTTTGCCTTATTTATTTATTTGTATCCCGCTTTTATTATTTTACAAATAAATCAAGGCAACTAACATATCCAGCACATCTTCCTTCTCTTATTTTCCCCACAAGAACAACCCTGTGAGG